TATTTTTTTTTTTTTTTTACAGACACGGCGCCAAGAAACTTGAACTAATCGATCGAATTATCTGTCGTTACGCAGAATATATTAATTGGATAAAAAAGAAAAAAATATAATGCAACGATTATTTTTACATTAACTTGCAGCTATATGTTCTTCTTGTACGTGTACATAAGGGTATATATATATATATATATATATATATATATATGTACCGATATTTATGTTTAACTTTCTCGATATACGTATTATAATTTTTATTTTAGACATACATATATATATATATAAATACATTATGTAGATATCTATCTATTCGTATGTATTTGAAAAATTGTATCAGGAAGAAGGAACGTATATCTCCTTATTGGGTTATACCATGAACCAAAACGTATGGGGAACTACCGTTTAGTGATTTTCCATAAAGTTTTAATTCCGAATATAGTTCGAATAAATAAAATAAGGAAGAGAATAAATACGGATTCGATACGACAGGAATAAAGGATAGCTAGCTAGATAGATAGATAGATAAATAGATAGATAGATAGAATCCATGTGTCTCGAACTAATATGGATTCGTCGCTCTCGAACAGTGAATAATACACTTCTATATCGGGAAGCAGCAAACCAGGGGCGGCAAGAAGGCCATTTAATGTTCTACTAGTTTGACTCGATTCACTTTACACATTTACGGGGTTGTCCTTAAATGATCCCTAAATCATGACTCGCCGCCAATTTTGTATTATCCGACTATCCTTAATCTCTCATGGTTATATGTTATTTTTTCACTTTATTTTTATGGAAACAAGAAAAATGGCATTTCATAAAAAGGCAAACACAATTCCTAATACAAATTTCGATGAAAATATTATTAACAATTGATCTCTTTTCTTGATCAGGATTAATCGAATGATATCATTTTGATTGTATTAATATAAATTCAATGATATAAATAATAATAGTAATAAAAAAGAGAGAGAAAGGGATTGCTAAAATTGTTCCTCGAAACTTTCCCTTTTTGCAAAGACGGGACGCAAGCACGGGACGCACCTGCGTTTTAAATTCAGGGCTCGATCGGCGAATCGATGTTTTGATTCATTCTGCACCAATGCGACCCGGCCGCGGTTACCTTGTCGCAACGTGGTCATGGCCCCGACTGGATGTGGATAGTGGTCAGGATCGTCCCCCCTTCACTTTTACTTGTATCTATGACACCGAGTGTCTTCGATCATACTCTTTTGACAAGGTGCAAAATTAAACTACGAATTCGTAATCATTATTCTCATACCTACCCTCATTCCTATCCCCTACCCCTCATCAAAAATATAAATAAATATTAGAAAATATAGAAACTCAAGAATTTTGTTCTTTCCCTCGTTTGATATTTCTCACGTTCGAAAAATGAAAAATAAAAATAATTGATCAATTGAAAGAACTGAAACGTTACCTTTGGATAACACTCTACAAGTATGCTTTCTATGTATAATCGAGAACCCACGTAATAACGATAATATCATAGTATAAGAACACTTATAACATAGAATCAAGCGCAAATAACAGACACGATTCGCTTTTAATTTAACTTTGCGCGATGCGCGTTGACTCACACTCGTCGCATATTAAATCGTCGCCCGGAGGTAAACTGCTGCAAAATTCTGCATTTAAAAGATATATAGATAAATAGATGCAAATCGATTCGTAGGAATTTATACCATTTAATGATAGATTTTAGTCTGTCAACAACTAGTCTATTCTATTATGAAATTTTCTAGATCGCGAACAGGTGTTCTCGTTCGTACCGCTTAAGGAATTCCATTTTCCATCTAGCTTTACTTGACAAAATTTTAACCGAGTATTTTCTTTTTCAATATATTCCTTTTTTTTTTCTATTCTACAAAATAAAACTTAATGTTGAATTTAAATTGTTTTGAAAGTAATTAATTTTTTTTTATTTTTTTGAAATATTTTAAATAAAAAAAGATATAAATGAAGAATCAAAAAAGAATGTTTAAAATAATTTGTATATCTCCTTTACTTGGACTTTTTCCTCTTCCTCTTCTTCTCCTTTTTCTTCTTACAAAATTAAATCGCAAATAAAGTGTAAGAAGAATCAGCAGGTGCGCCGTGGGTGGGCACCTGCGCGACACGCGAACCAGCTTAAGTTGTAATACCGTGAACGAGAAGCGTTCGAAAGTTCGATAAGAGCAAACACATGAGCATACACAAAGAAAATAATAAATTTCAAGTATGATCTCCCTTCTATTAGAATTTTTTACCTTTTTTATATTATTTTCTTTCTTTCAATTGTCTTATCTTTTTCTTGCCGTTTATTATTTCCTCTCACCTTCCTTTTCGTTCGCTCGTCTTTGGGAGAACGTGTTCAACTCCCGTGGCTGACATCTCCGATGTCGTGATTTCGCTCACACAACACTTACACTTTTTCCGCTAGGAACGTTTCGCGGAAACTGCGTTTCAGTAGGGCGCAAAGTGCCGCCGCGAGATCGAGCGGCGGGCCGATCTTTAGCGCATGCGCACTCTTAATAATGACCCCACCACCATCATATCCTCATTTGGCGCGCGCTCCGGGGTCCAGTTAAGTCCCACCGTTCTCCATTACTAATCAAATTCTCGACTATAATTCACGTTCGCTTTCCTTGTATTTTTTGAAATATGTTTTTTGCTCGATTTCATCCAAAATCAATACTTCTAGGATTCTATATGTACACATATATACACATAAGAATTATAGATAAATAAAATTGTATTGTTGTAATATTATTGGGAATATACATCGTTAACGATCTCCCTTTCCAATGCGATTCAAATTACTGATATTTACTGAATTATTATACTTTGTTTTCTCTCTTTCTTTCTTTCATGTAGAATTAAGTATAGGAATTAAAAACGCTGATGAATATTCGATGGCTGAGTTGGTTGGGCGGTCGAATATACCATTGCTGGTGGTTGTTGATGGGTCATCGCATGACTCTGATGCTGATGAAATTCTGGAGCTCCATGGGGTCCGTTTAGCCTAACGCGTTTAGCGTTTTGTCCATGATTATGGTCACCGTTTCCTTGCTGCTGCTGATTTTGTTGCTGCTAGATTTATGATATTATTGTTTAGTAGTTGAAAATTTTAAAAGAAATATTATTTGAAAATATTTATTACCGTCTGCTGTTGATTCTGTCTTGCTTTATTTTCAGTCTTTTCCTCTGTGTCATCATCCGTGAGGAATTCTCTCTTTGGATACGGGATAGGACATCCAGCAAATATACTACAACATTAACAAACATTTTTATATTAATAATTATTTTTGTACTATTTGAATAATAGAAAAAGAAAATAAATAATACTCCTGAGTTGGCAGTGGTTCCTCTTGAAAGTATGCATCCTGCATAGAATGCTCAGACGTAATTCGTTTGTTTGGATCCATCATCAGCAACTTTTGTAACTAAAAAAGTTTCATTTTAAATTAGTATGACAAAATGGTATTTGCATTATTAACCGATATAATATGTAATATAAATCCTATTTTTATATATATATATAATATACCAGATTAAATGCCTTGCTATCAGGTTTGATTTTATGTCGATCCATGTACTTGGTCAATGAACAATTTGCATAGCTAAAAATTTGTACGAAAACTTCCTATTAACATCCATTTATAAGAAAAGTAAACGTTGATTGTAAGTTTAAATGATTAATCTTTTTTCTTAGATCAAATACGTACTTGGATCTTTTAAAATCTTTCAGTAACGTCGGATGCTCAGGCATCTTTTTAATATCTTCCCAATCTTTCTCTAATGGAAATCCCATAACATTAAATATCCTATAAAATAATATATATATTCATAATGTTAATGACGTAGTTATAGTTATACGATTATTTATTATAACAATATAGAACAAACCTATCTAATTGGTCATGATGATATGGATTACTCGTCTTAATATCTTCTTGTCTACAATGAAAGATAGGTTCGCAGGTTAACAATTCAGCAAATATACAACCGATAGCCCATATATCTGTAATATAAAATATAAATAATATTATTGTATTAAAAAATTAATTTACACAAAGTATAGTAACGTACCTATAGCTTTTGTATAATGTCTAGCACCTAATAATAATTCAGGAGCTCTATACCAGAATGTTACTACAACAGGATCTAAATCTGCTAATGGTTTTAAAGGAGCATTAAATAATCTAGCAAAACCCATATCTGCGATTTTGACACGTCCTCTTTCGTTTCCTTCTCCCATTACTAAAATATTTGCTGGTTTCTGGAAACAAATATTATTATAAGATTTACAATTACAGCAGATTTATAAAAAAAAAAAAAAAACTAAATCTTATCGATAAAGAATATTTACCAAATCTCTATGAAGAACCCAGTTGGAATGTAAATAATGAATGCCGTCTAAAATTTGATACAATAATGATTTAACCATACTCTTCGGTACCATAACTGGTTTTTTATTAGCTTTAGCCGCTCTATTAAATTTAATAATATGCTGCAAAGAAAACATTATTAAATTATATATTCAAATTAATGAAAATTATATTTGTCAATTAAAATAACATACCCAAAGATCATGTTCTGCGAAATCAAAGAGTAACCATACTTTACGGTCATTATGCGACAAGAAAACACGAATAAGCGTAATGACATTAACGTGTTTTAATTCCCTGAGTAACTATACAAATGAAGACAAAGGTACTAATAGTTTCTATATTAATATATAATATTAAAATATTCGAATAGACTTACAGCAATTTCTCGACACGCAGACATGGATAGACCTGTACCTTCTATTTGTTTAAGGCCAAAATCTTTAGTATCAGGCCGAGATTTTAATTCACTATCCGGTACACTAGTTTTTGACAAAATAATGGTTTCATTATAAGTGTGATATATTCATTATATAATGACTTGAAAGAAAATAATTTATTAAATCTGATCATTTCTATACATGCTTGTAAGTCATATATTATGTATTCATTTATTTAAAAATGTCCTTTCCAGAAGCATTAATATCAAATAAAAAGAACTGCATAATCATGAAATAGCCATTTTGAAAGTACAAAAGTAAAGACAAATTCAAAGTAATTAAAATCTAAAAAGAATTAATATTTATATGCAATAACTTTACTATCATAAATGAATGATTTTATTTCATAAAAACAGTATATGAAAGATGTGAAAGATATGAAAGATTTGACTGATTGATAACATAATAGAAAGTTATAGGTTAGGTTAAAAAACTAACCCTTCTTTTCTGCGGGCTTTATATACATGCCCGTATGTACCTCTTCCAACCTTACATCCCTCAAATTCAAAAAGATCTTCGACTTTAGTCCGATCTTTTTGTGCTTTCATCTTAAATTCGTAATCCATCATGGTTAATACTATCAAACTTTTATTATCAACTATAAACTATCATCTTTAAAATTGCGTCCTCTCGCGTTAAAATCGTACGAAATCAGAATAATGTTTCACTTATCAAATAATGCATATCTCTAATTTTATTCACAAAAAATTACGTTGCAACACGCGACAATGCACTAATTTGCTGTCACTGCCACGGAGGCTAGATACCAGGAGGGCAATCGACATAAGAAATTGTACAGTCAACGCTATTTCGTTAATAAGCCGCTAGGCTTCGTTATGTTCGCTAATGTCAGGTTTATAACAATACTGCATCATTAGCAATTGTATTAATGTTTTTATTTGATTTATAAAAGTAATATTTATTTAAAAATGGTAAATAAATGTATTGTTCATGGGTGTACAAGTGGACGAGTCAAGGATCGTAATAAAAATGCTAAATTAAATCAAAAGGAGAACATTTTAAAAATTTTAATAGGGGATATAAATCCCATATTAGTGCCCACCTTTTATCTCATTGTTTTCATAATAGTACATACACGATACCGCTGCAAAAACATTTTGACGCATGCGCAGAACTGTCACGTGACTTCGGTACCTTTCGGCACGCTCGTAATTTAAATATGAATAATTTAAAACTCACATCTTATTATTCTTTTACAATTATGAAAAAAAAAAATTGCTCTAAATCTTTGTAATACATTGTAATAATATTCTGAATATATTCGTAAAAATAAAAAACCATCGTTTTAATATTTTTTATTGTCCTTTAAAAAAAGTCTAAAATGAAGAAAGAAATAAATGAAGAAATGAGACTCGTTGTGTCTCAACAAACTTTGTATTTGTCTTAAATTTTAAAAAATACAACGTACCACAATTTCACTTAATTTTGAAAGGTTTGAAGTAATAAAAAAATATATATATATATATAAAAAAAAAACTATGTGTGTATTATGCAACAAACTCTTGAATAAAGGGTATATTTTTATACAACGATTTACAACATTGCTAACTACATAATAATAACAAATACAATGATAACTCGCGAATCATGCGGTTTTATCGTACTTACTTTTAAGTACTTATTACATTTCGTTATTTTCGTTCTGTTATTCTATATTTGTGTTTGGTTTATCTACATTTTCTAATAATAGATATCTCAGGCGCAAAGATTTCTGTAATTTTTTCTCGAGGAAGAACATTTGGTCGTCGAGATAAGCAATTATTTTCTTTTCTTTTTTTTTTTTTTTTTACAAAAATTAACTTTAGACGAATATTTATTTAATAGAGATTTAGTAAAGAGTATAGATTTATAGAGATATCTATGAAGTCACGTTATCGATATCGTCAAAGCCAAATGTTCAATCAAAAGAGAAGAAATTCGTCAGAGGATAACTAAGGAGCACTACTGTAAGCGATCAACATACTAATTACGATCATAGTTATTATATTAGAGGTATGCGTCAAGTCGTCTTTTTTTTTATTCTTTTTAATTATCGATTTGCATTTATTCCGAAGAAAGCATTTTAAAGAGGAAGATATCAGATTCAATCTATAAGTAATTTGTCAGACTTTCGAATCTGTATATAATTATTAACTTTGGTTAAAACGCATTTAGATATTAGTTCATTTAAGTTTCGTTGGAAGATTTCTTTTTTTTTTTTTTTTCTTTTTAAATACTTGATCACTTACGATAACAACGGGAATTAGATATGACATGATACAAGATCGAACTTTTTTTTTTTTTTTTTTTCTTCAAAGTTCTTCTCATCCTCAACTGTGTTCTATTTCTCATAAAATTTTCTCATTTTCATTCGTACAGGCAGACATTTTCAAAAGCACGAAGAAAAAAAAGTAAAAAAAAAAAAAAATAGAAAAATTCATCTTCACTTTACCTGCATACAACGACCGACGTTCAAATATTTCTCTTATTGAATATAATTAATTAAAAGTTATTATGACGTTACATATTCTCTACCTAAACGCTAAAACACACTGTAAACTTTAAAATGTTATTATTTTTTACAAGAATTCTACAGAAAAATGTTGTCGGTTTTATCTGATTTTATGTTGCTTTTTTCTGTTTCTTGTTCTTTTTTTTCTTTTTTTTTTTTGTTTTTTGTTTTTTGTTTTTTTGTAATCTCAATTCGATTACACTAGTTTAATTGTTAAATCTAAAATGCATAATAGAAGATAAAATATTTTATTTGTTTAATATTTTTTTTTTTTGGAACAATTTTAAAAATGGAATTATTGCGTTATATTAAACGTCGATCGACATTCACAATGATTTTTATTTCTTAATTTCTAATAATATGATATTTATATATCAGTTGTTGAACTCCGGAACAATTGTGTTCAAAACCGTTTTACATACCTATTTTCATGATTTTCGTTAAATTATTAAAAAAAAAAAAAGACAAAACGAGAACATTCAAAATACGTGTCTTGTAAATAATTGGAATGTGAACAGTATTTAAATGAAATATTTCACCATAAAGAATTTAATTAAAAATTCCCTCACGTTGGTACATGTAATTATGAAGGAACAAAAAAAAAAAAAAAGAAAAAACCCCCGAAAAAAAAAAATAAAAGTCTTTAGTAATAATTAAAAAAAAAGTATACAAAAAGAAAAGATCATTAAAATAGTTATCATATATTATTATTATTATTATTATTATTATTATTATTATTAAATAAAAAATAAAGATATTTTTTCTAATCGAAGATGTTTACTCATCAGAAACGTACGTAGTTCTTCTTTCCGTTTATTATTAATTGTGTTTTTTCTGTTCTCTTCTTTTTTTTTTGTTTTTTTTTTTTTTTTTTTTTTTTTTAAGATCCGTTGATTTAAGATTCCCACTAATTGACTTTAGTACTCGGTTTATACCGCCGGGAAAAAACGGTATGACTTTGGTAAAAAATATCGCTGTTCTTTTGTTTTTTCCTTCTTCTTGTTTTTCGTTTTCTNTTTTTTTTTTTTTTTTTTTTTTTTTTTTTTTTTTTTTTTAAGAGCCGTAGATTTTAGATTCCCACTAGTTATATTTTGTACTCGGTTTATACCGCCGGGAAAAAACGGTATGACTTTGGTAAAAAATATCGCTGTTCTTTTGTTTTTTCCTTCTTCTTGTTTTTCGTTTTCTTTTCCCTATTTCTCAACATCTCTTTTCATTCCTTCATTCATTCCATACAATTAAAGAAGTAAATGGGTATATATATATATATATATATTTTTTCTTTTTAATGTATATGTTTTTAATATACGCATATATTTATATATGTATGTATGTGTGTTTGTGTGTGTGTGTATTATACTCGTTGTCACGCGTACGTAATATAGATAATAATTAAATCACCACTTTTTTCGTCATATTAATTTGTTCAAGTACTGTGACAGTACTAGTTGAGCTAATCAATGCGACATTTACTTTTATAAGAAATTCCATCGAGTCATTGCCATATTCCATTTTCTCGATCCTACAAATAACGAATGTGACACCTTATTAGAACATAATTTATGCTAAATGATTTGTAAGCGACTACGTCATCGAGGTTTGTATTTGTATCAACAACCGTGACGTTAAATCTTTTTCTTTTTTATTCAGAGAGAGAGAGAGAGAGAGAGAAAAGTATTATGTTCAAACGGTGAGAATAATTTCGAATAAAAAAGAAAAAGAAGGAGAAAAATACAAATGAAAAAAAAACACAAAAAAAAAAACAAAAATCAATTTAAATAAATAAAAATAACAAACCTTGTTACGAGTATTTTTTCGATTATAAAAAAAATAAAAAATGTAATAAATGTGTGCTTGTATAAAATAAAAATAAAATTTAACTTACTCTCTTATTATCCCTTATTTTCTCTCTTGTATTCTATCAATTGGCATTAAAAACAAAATTATTCAATAATTAAATTATATATAATGTAGATATAATAAAAAAAAAAAAAGAAAAAAAAAGGAACTAAAATTATTTAAATAAAGATGAAAAAAATATGAAAGTGCAAAACAAAACCAAAAAGAGAGGAACCCTGTTTTTACAAAATGCTGTGTGTATTTTTGTGTGCGTTTTTTTATCCAGAACCGGGTAACTGTTATATATATATATATATCATCTTATATAAGTTTTGGCTCCTTTTTCAGAACGATATTTACACACAGATGATACGCATGTACGTATGTGTATTTTAAAATTATTCCTCGATAAGTTTTCGCTTTTTTCCCTTTCTATTTCTTCCTCTCAATTTCCTTCCTTCCTCTTTTTCTTTCTCTTTATCCCATTTTCAGTTCTCTTTTATAGCCCTTTTTGATCTACAAAACATCTCTTTAATCATAAGTTTCAGATTCCTGTTGTACTAATTTAAATCGACGAGGACTCTTCACGCACATAGAACCATGGCCCTCTAAGGAAAGTCTTCCTTTGCGTTGGAGATATTTTGTTATGTATCGGGCGACCAATTTTTGCGGTCTTATTTGCCATTCGTCCAAAACTTCCTTAGGTGCCATTACCTAGAAGACAAATGTTTACAAGGAATACATTCGGAAAGTTTTCTAACGTATAAGCAATTATTGTTCAGTTTTATTTTGGAAAATGATATCAAATGAAATAATAAAAAATTACCTGGTCTCCTTTGAGTCGATCTAACAAAGTCACGCAAACAACGGCAGATTTAATACCAGCGTGATAAGTAAGTGCAGCGAATGGTGTACTTTCCATTTCAATATTAACAACACCAGCTTTTTGTATTTTAGTTAAATAATCCATCTTTTCATTCTCCGTGAAATCGCAAAACGCTCCATCCAATCTAGCTTGACCTTCGTAGAAATCATAAGTGCACATGGTCTTGCCGACTACGGTATCGTAAGGATCGTCACGATGTGCCAATCCTTTTAATTCTCGAACTAGTAATCGATCAAACTTCGTCGGTCTTGTAACTATTTTTCCTAAGACAGGCTAAAAATAACCATTAAATAAACATTAACTCTGCTTTATTTACTATAATTATAAATATATATATATATATATATATATATATATATATATGTAAAATAAAACATACCAGTTCTAAATGAGGATTCAACATTCCATCAACAGCTTCTTCAGAAATAACAACGGTGCCACCTTCCAATCCGATGCCACCACAAGTACCAATCCTAAAGAAAATTGGATCCTTGACCTTTGCATGATACATCAGCTTGATAATTTCGTGGAGAAGAATTCCCACTGAAGGAATACCCATTCCATGCTGCGAAATGATAAATGTTCGAATAATCATAGGATAACTTTGAAACCATCATTTTTATTGATTGAGAATGGTAGAATTAAATAATAATAAGATGGATGATATTTTTGCAGTTGGTTCGAAGAAAACACATCCTGTGTATTGTACTTACGCTGATTGAAAGCACAGGTCCGACTTTGTACATGGAATAACGATAAGAATACTGGCTGATGTCGAGAAGGGTAGTTCCAGCTGGAATCTTGTGACCTATTTCCTTCATAATGTAATTCGCAAACTGTTCCATACGTTTCGGTGTACCACCCATGCAAACGAACTGCAAACAAAATCAAACGGAGAGAAAGAGAATAGAAAAGATAAAATTCCGTTTTCGGGTTAATGTAGCGTGTTTTATCATTTTCTATGTCATAATAGAAAATTGTATAGAGATGAAACAGAGAGAGAGAGAGAGAGAGAGACAAAAGAAAGTGACAGAGATTGAAACAGGTGTATACAGGTAGATAAAAAGAGAAAACTATACGAATATGAAGAACAATAAACAATGTTTCACTGTTCAAGGAAATTTAATGTCCATCATGACATTAATAATTATTATTCAGTTAGCTTTATAACTCACAGCTTTTTCGATGACAATTTCAATTGAATTATATGAATAACTTTATTATATTCGCATAACTCAATCAACGTCCATCATCGATCGGTTGGTCATAGAAAAGAGATAATAAAACATTTTTCAATATTGAATTTCATTGATAGGTAGTATTAAGTATTAAATAATAATTAAATCGATTGATAAAATCGAACGTTGTACAAAGTCAATGAATTTTTTTTCGTATGGTTCGTTGATCTTTTTATAGAAAAAAAATCAAAACAATTACATTTATAAGTACAATGATTTATAGAAATGTATAGATAGGAAAGTCGCGAAAATTTATTTGCAAATCACTTCGTAAAACAATCAATTGAAATAAAAAAAAAAAAATATATATATATATATATATACTATAACACCAGGGATAATTACTGACCAACGATATCCTCATATATTTTCTGTGACCTAGTAAATAAAATGCATCGTTCGATTTTCCATTCGAGCTCATTAAAGAGCAAGAGATTCTTTTCCTTTTCTATTTTTATTTTTATTTTTTTCTCTATTTTTTTTTAACATTAGATATACCAGACCAGTTCAGTATCAGAGTTCTGTAAATAATTAAGCACTTTGTTATGTAAAAATGTCTATAAAATTCATTTATCTATTAAAATTATTATTGTCACACATTTTTTTTGTTTGTTATTTTTTAAGAATAAATAAAGACTGAAAGTCTCAAAAAGTATCTTTTTTTTTTTTTTTTGATACACCAATCATTTTGACTAGTGTGGTAGAAATAGATATACTGAAAATGGTGGCTTATATATCTAGTGTTAATTAAAACAAATCTAACGTAAAGAATTATCAGTTTTATCAATAAAAAATTTGGATTTCCCGTTATTGATGAACAAGTCGAATATATTTACGAATGAAAAATTGTCTAATAAAATGTATAAATCGTTTCATGTGTACATTATTATTTATTAATAGTCAAAATCAATTGACGCACTATACTTGGTTTCTATCAATGAATTTATGATTATCAAAATTACTCAATATCATAATTACTGTTAAGCGATAATAACATGAGTAAGTAAATAACGATTATCACTATTCTCCTTGCTTGGTACAATTTAGAACATGTGAGATCAATTTCGCAATCACGACGATGAAAGAAACAATTTTACTGTGATAATCGATAAGTAAATCATGTGTTTATGAATAAATTCAATAAAATTATATTAAATATGATATACAATTAATCGTATTTATTACAAAAATCAAATTAAACAACATTCATATTCAATAAAAGAACACGAATACTCGTATATATATATATATATGTGTCGTGTGTTGAAAATTTTTTTTTGAATCTAACATAAAACCAATTCAATTAACGTAGTCTTTAAATTGTTCAATCCAGTCTCGTATAAATAATCCCTAATTGTATAATACACAGCAAAGAAACCTTAGTAAGTTAATACGAGAAAACAAATGTTATGTGTATATATATATATATATATATGTGTGTGTGTATGTGTGTGTGTGATGTTACGTAGAAATTTGTGTTACCTTAACATCGCCAAACATTTCCACAAGATCGTGAGAACCACTGCCAAGTGCTAGATGATATAATATATCTTGATCCATTAATTCGATGTTGGGATTTTTCAATCGTACAGTACCATCACTGTATCTGAAAATTTAGAAGATAATTTTTTCTTATTAACAAAATTGAACGATGAGCGTTTGAGTTTTCTTTTTTTTTTCTCTCTCTCTCTCTCTCTCTTTTTTTTTTTGATATTAATAATACTATAGAACAATGATAATATTTGAACATATTTTGTTTGAAATTGATGACACAAATATTCAATGACCCATCAAAAATATTCTGTCGTTTCGTAAGAAATGTCTACATTGTAGACAACAATGTATTTCTTTAAAAATCGAATAAAATATTACAATAATAATTCTTGTAACTTAATTTTTAACGTTTAAACGTGTGTGTGTACTCATTGATACTATTTTCATTGCTAAAGTATGCATGAGTGTGTCAACATTGGCAAATAGTGCCAACAATTTAATGTAAGTAACTGGTTATAATAACTATCGAGTTAAATGAACATGATGAAATGGTATTTATTTGAAAGTGTCGATGTAATTAATATATAATTTATTATTTTATGTGTGCCATTGTAAACTTTGAAACGTCTACGAAACGTCAAAAATTGTCTTTGATAAACTAAGTTAACATTTTAATGGCCGCACGTTTACGAATAATGTTGCTAGGGGTCGGTAATATTCTTTTTTTTTTGTGTGAAAAAATTAATTGAAAAAAAAAAAAAAACCACAACAACAACAACAACAAATTTAATTTTATATCATTTTAAATATATAAAAAGTTATAAATAAATAACGGCCAATAATGGTTGTTTCGGTTATCACACACATGTTGTGTGAGTGGCCATTAAAGTGTTAAACATACTATTGTATTAGTTTAGCTGTTTTTTAGTTATGTGCATCGATGATGTTTTAATTAGAATATTGAAATTCAATTGCAATTGAATATTCCATTCAATTTTGTATATAAAAATTGATGATTTTGTTTAAATCAATTTGAGTGTTCAATCTTAAGGACAAAAGTTGTAGGATTTAAATATCAATTGAAAAAAAAAAAAAAAAAAATGAGATTCGTACGATTAATCATTTTGTTTCTTTCATGTAAAGGGAAATATCGATCACGAAATGCAGATTTAACGAGCTTTCTCGACTTTGTCGGGGTTACACAAATAGAAAAGTTTGAAGACTTCTTTAATTATTCGAAAGCGAGTTCTCTTTGTGTTTTTTTTAAACGACGACATTGAAAAACGATCGATGCTATTTCAAAAGAAACTTTATCGATGTTAACGTTTACATTGCAAAAAATATATATCTATACATATATATGTGTGTGTATGTATGTATGTATGTATGTATGTATATAATCGTCAGAAAAAATTACTCACATCAGCAAGATAACAATGAAGTTGACATTATGATAAAACTATAAAAATAATAATGCGTTTATGCATAAATCTTTTGTTTGTGAGATTATTAAAAAAAAAAAAAAAAAAAAAAAAAAACTTATTTTCCTATTAACATATTCGCTCTATAATTAATTATTAATTTTACACGCGTATATTTAATTCGTATATAATTCGTGTATAAAATTAAAAAAAAAAAATTATAATAAATTATTAATTAAATATTAAAGTATTGTACGTAAATAATTATTTATGTTTAATAATTATTATGTTTTTAATTATTATGTTTTTAATTATAACATAATAGTATAGTATAATTAAATATTGTAATGTAAATAAATATGTAAATATGTTATGCGAATAAATAAAAATAATAATTAATATATAATAATAATTAAATATAATATAATATGTTAATATATATATATAAGTATAATTATTTATGTTTTTAATTATTATATATATGTTTACGAAAAGAAAAATAATAAAATAAAAAAAGCCTACCTAACAGTACTGTCGGTCAGGAAATGATCAAATTCATAACCCTCTGCATCATCAACAGATGACTTGATTTGACAGTTGTGACCATTATCTTTCTCTTCCTTAGAAACATTCTCACACTTACAAGTAGGCATCTTCTGAATGTTATTAAATTTTCTTATTTGTTAATTAATGTTAAAATAAAGCAGAGTTCTTGATACGTTCGTTGACAAACTTGGAATAAATTCTTCTACGCTTAGAAATGAACTCTTATACTTTTCTCTCTCTCTCTCTCTCTCTTTAGTTTGTCCCACCACTAACTAAACTGTTGGCACATATGATACTCTTCCGATGCTGGTAATTTGCTGCCAGCAGCTATTCTACACATACACACATATATATATATGTATATAATATATGATTAATATTGTATATATGTATACAGAAACATAAATGTGCCTTCTGCTGGGATTAAGTCATTCAAATTCCGAGAATGAAACGAGATAATAACAAAAAAAATAGTTCCTTTTTTTTTTTTTTACTCAATAATCGTTGAGTACCATTTTACATCGACAAACAAATATTTGTTCAAGTCTGCTTTTTTAACGGTTTTAAAATAATACGCAGTTCAAGAAAAACATCGTATGTGTATTATTGCTTTGTCCTGGAGAAATTTGAATTTAATACATATACACGAAAATTTATATACACACACACACACAAACACACAGTTTATGTTATGTTTTATATTATGCTTTTTCGAATGCAATTCAATTTAGTTTAGTTCTTTATCTCATCTTACACATGTATAAATTTCATAATAAAATTGAACTTATCTAGCATTTAGCAATAAAAAACATATTTTCTTTTTTACAGTATTTCCAGGAACAGTATCTACTACTATCGTGTAAAACACAGTAATCCTTACCGTATTCTTAAGAATAACATTATCTGTTATTTGATTTTTATTTCAAATCTAGTCTCTTTACGATTAGATATGAACTAACGTATCCTTTTTTTTCTTTTCTTTTTCAAAAATAATTACATTAGAATGCAACAACAACAAAAAAATCAAAAATTAGAACGTTATAATGTTAAATTCTATTAATTGAGTGAATTATTTTCATTATGTATATGCGTAACATTTGAAATGTCATATAAACAACATGTAATTAAAGAATTTTGATAGATAACAACGTGTCAGTCTGAAGGTGCATTTCGAAGAAGACGGTACTTTGATCATATACTCGGTGTTTTTAAACAATAATACACGTTTCTTTTGATTAATTAACAATTATTTTAATTTTCTAATGCATTCTACTTATATTTAAGATTATTTAAACGTATATTAATTTGCTTTAACATCATATACTTATTAACCATTTTCGGACGCGTGTCTAATCTCAGTCACCACACAAGAAACCGTGCTAATCTTAATATTATATTATATATAATATAATATAAATTTATAATATATATATATATATATAGTAATACATTAATATTATTTTATTTATTATTATTATTATTTATATATAATTATATTTAATTATACTATATACAATAAATTTATATTATTATATATATATATAATTTAATATTATATATTAATTATATATAATAAATTAAATATAATTTATTATTAATATTTATTATTTATTAAAATATTATAATTTTCATTTAAATTATATAATTTATTTAATATATTATAATATTAAATTTATTAAATATATAAATTATATATATAAATGGAGTCCAAATACAACATGTGGTACAAGACGGTGGTAGCGGAGGGTTTGCCAGGATATTGGGTAGGAAAGTCGAGTGAAGAGGGAAAAAGAAGAGTGGCGAGATTTAGATTGGGGAATGAGATGAGGGAAAGGAGATACTGGGAAGAGGAGGAGAAGAAAAAATGTAGGGTGTGTGGTTGGGAGAGGGAGACATGGGAGCATGTGTTGGAGGGCTGCAGTAGAGTGGTTGGGGAGGAGGAAGAGAGGATCAAGGAAATTTTGGATGAGAGTGGAATGGGGGAGGAGTGGATGAAGAGGATTGGGAGTATGAGAGAGAAGAAGGAGAGGCAAGGAGGGGAAGAAGGGAAGAAGAAGTGGAGGTTTGGAACGGGTGAAGGGGGAAGGGAGGAAGAGGAAGTGAGGGAGAGGGTAGTGTTAAGTTAGGTTAAGGAGATAGTTGTTAAAGGAGTGTAACCCTTCGGGGACGCAGTAAATATTATCTATATATATATAGTAATACATTAATATTATTTTATTTATTATTATTATTTATATATAATTATATTTAATTATACTATATATAATAAATTTATATTATTATTATATATATAATTTAATATTATATATTAATTATATATATAATAAATTAAATATAATTCAATATTATAATGTATATAATATATATAATATTTATATAATAAATATATTATATAAATATATTATAATATATATATATATATATATATAATTTCTGACCACTATAACACCCATATCCAAATTGAATACGTCCGAAAACGGGTTAATATACTTTGAATTGAATAGAATTATAATTTGATACATTTTCAAATAAAAACCTTGAACTGTATGTCATTTTTATGTTGAAACATTTTTATAAATGTAGTTTTATCTAAAAAAAAAAAAAAAAAAGAAATTACAGTAAATTTTCTTTATGATGCTATTTCTTGATAATACGTGCTTAATATCCGAACGATATGAATGTTGTTCACGCAAAAGCAATAACTCTAAAAGAAAATGATTTATCAAAGATGGCAACCAACGGGGATTGTAGTAGAAAGATATATAGATTAACTCGAGGGATGTTTTTTGTTTTATGTATGAGAAACTTCATCTTTTCTCTTTTTCGCTCTATTTCTTTAGGAGGCACATTTTTTCCTTTTATTTATGAGACAACATTGCTCCCGAAGGTATACTTGAGAAAATAAGCGAAACAGATATTTTACATTTTCCCCTTTAAAAATGATTCAGATAAGAAATATATATACACCATAAATGAACGAATCTAACTTTGTCTCGTTAAAAAAAAAAAAAANAGGCACATTTTTTCCTTTTATTTATGAGACAACATTGCTCCCGAAGGTATACTTGAGAAAATAAGCGAAACAGATATTTTACATTTTCCCCTTTAGAAACAAAATATATAAAAAATATAGAAAATATAGAAAATAACATATATATATATATATATATATATATTTACATAAAATTATTTAAATTTAATTATATTTACATTATAATTTATTTTTGTTTAATTAATTTATAATATAATTTAGATTTATAGAAAATTATTTAAATTTAATTATATTTAGAATATAATTTATTTTTTTTTATTAATTCATAATATAATAATATTATTTAAATTAAAATTTATTTACATATTTAACATCATCATTTTTAAAACTCTAACATACGTACGATTTTAAGACTGAAAGTGAACAACCTCGATTCGAATGAAAGTATTATCTTGTATTTAAGTATTACCTACATATTCTCATATCTATGTGTTTGTGAATGTATGTTCCATGTTTTAAAATGTGTCACGTTTAAAAATCTACCATTTGCTAGTAGCCTTGATATACATTACTTAATCGTTTCACACACCATTAACACAAGTAAACGATTTCAAAATTTTTTCCGTTCCTGTTTTTAATCGAAAGAGAATATATAATTCGAGTAAACTCTAATAAAGAAAAAAAAAAAAAAAAAATCTCACTACTGATATCATTTTATTCATTTTCATAATAAGACAATGTTTGAATTATACAAAATGAAATGAGATTTTGAATTGTATAAGTAGTTGAAATTAATATATTTTTAAATATAACTGATAACACATTTAAATAAAGAAAGCAAAGAAAAATGTGTATAACGGAAAAACATATGTGTGCACTTATCTACATACATACATATGTAAATTACATACTACATGTAATATTCGATATGAATACTACACATATTATACATAGAAGTCTATAATACTCGCGTATTAATAGAAACACATCGATTTTACGTTTTTATTCAACAAACTATAACAAATACAGAACGTTATTCGTATTTTCCATTAATTCCGCATTATTGAAAATGACACGTATTTAATTAAACCTCTATTATTATTATTATTATGCATTATAACGTTACGTTTAATCATTAAATAAATGTGATTTTAGTATTACAATGTATTATCCTTAAAACGATATCATTTCCAACAAGATTGAACACGTGCACACTATCTACAAATAATTTAATAAAATTATATATTATATATAATTTAATACATATATTTTATTATAATTAAATAATATAATATATAAATAAATGTATATTATTTATTTTTTTTATTTATTTATTATATTAAATTTATATTATATATATATATATATATATTAAATTATTATAAATTAATAATATTTATTATAATTAAATAATATATTATAATAAAATATTTTATTATAATTTAATATAAAATTATATTAAATTATATATTTATTATATAATAAATAATAAATTAATGTAATATATAATATTTCTAAATTAATTAATAAAATCATATTATATTTAAATTAATAAAAACATAATATAATATATCAATAAAATATAAAACATTATATTATATTTATACATTAATAAAAATCATACATAGAAATTTATGATTATATCATAATAATATTTAAAATTTTTTATTTAAATGTTAAAGGATTAGAATAGATAGTAGAAGAAATTATTTCCGATCGATTTCAAGTTCACCGTACTATATGTTTCTCATGAATGGAAATCGATAGCTACTCGAAATATTTATCTGACGTTGCCATGTGCCAATTCTTTATTGAAAACGAAAATGATAAGATTACTTTTTAAATACGCCACGATATACATATCTACATAAACAAGGTGTCTCTGCAAATGATGTTACAAGCAAATAGTTAATGATTCTGCATGAAAAATTAAAATCAAAAATGTTGAATTCACGTTCACTTAACTGAATCATCCTTTGCTTTTTTTTTTTTTTTATATCACTAGTTTGAATTAAACAAATATTTATTACACATAAAATGTGTAATACATTTTAAAAAATTAATATTATAATATATATATATATATATATATTTAATAATATATTTTATAATATTATTTATATTACAANTTAATAATATATTTTATAATATTATTTATATTACAATGTATCCCTGTATATACATACATATATACTTTAATACATACATCATATACATAAATACAATGATTTATGGGAGTATTCGTATCCGCCCCTTACTATCCATTTGAAATAATTCATATTTGTTTATGATACAAAATTTGTAAATTCATTTACAAGGAAGTCTACTTAACAATTATTCAATTTTATTGCAAAATAATAAATATACAAAACGTATTATAAATAAAAGTTAGATTTGATATTTTTGAAAAGATCACGAGAACAGCTTGGGACTTCGTTTACGAAGAGAAATATACTAAACGTGATTTTACTGACGAGAACTAACATCAAAGAAACTCAACAAGTGTTAGAAAGAGATAAAAAGAAAGATAGAAGTAAATGTGGAGTTAAAACTAGACCTAGAATTAGAGCAACCAAATCATTCGAACTTGTATTTATGAACTCTTATCTTTCTTCTTCTTCTTTCATATTTTTTAAAATAGTATCATCTAACGCTTATTGTAATTTCGTTTATTAAATAGTTAACCTTGAGAATTAAAAAATAAAAAGAAAAAATAGTTTTAGTATAGAAATAGTATGGAGATTAGGGTTTAGGTCGTAAGATCGCGTGCTTAAAATGGGTTTTCGATTTGTTTCATTTAATCGTGTCTATAATTACATTGGGGACCTTTCTTTGTGAAATCGATTTTCACGTAAAACATATCATCAAATTTTATAATATTAATTTTCTTTATATTTAAATACTTATACATTTTTATAAGTATTATTAATATTAAGTTTATATAAGTATTTATATATATATATATTTAAATACTTATATATAAATACTTAAATATTAATAGTACTTTTCGTGATATTCGATGATACCTGAATATAAAATATTATTCTTAATATCATTTTTATTTATAATATATAAAAAAAAAAGAAGAAAAAGAGAGAAACGTCAAGTTCGTTTCAAAAAAAAAAAGTAATCGTGATATAATATTTTATAAAAATCGCGCATGTTGTTTTTTCTATTAAATTATATATATATATATATAT